CTCACCACTATGTTAGGAAGCTGCTCATGGAAGTTTGTTCACTACCTCATTTCATTATTTACTTCAAAGTCTTCTATTGTTGCATACTCCAGGTAGCAATGATATTTACTTGTACAAAATAAATGATAGTATCTAAATGATAGTATCTCCTTGGTTCCTGTGGTGAGCTTAAGGTTGTGCATACTGCATATTCTTTTGGTTATATAGGGAAATCTGAAATGTTTCTTTTCTTCCTATAAAAAAGTTTGTCCTTATCTTAATGTTCTCAGCTGTACCTTTCACTAGGATATTGGTGATATGACCAAAGTGAAAATACTTTCTTTGTTATAGGCCTGGAGGCAATCCTGTGTCTTAGTTCTGGAGAGCTCACATTCTTATTTCACATGAAAAGAAATAGTGACCAATCTGTATTTTACAAACAATAGCACACTCTAGTGTGTGTATTAATTAGCCATTATGGACTGATTCTCATCATGCTTAACTCAGCTTTTCAGTGATTTAGTTCTGTTGTATTCAGTAATATTTTTTCTGTATACTTGGGTGAACTGGAGGAAATGTATATCTTCAAATGAGAAGTTACCAGTTTCTTAACAGAGTCATTATGATACTAAATGTTATTTATTTTTTATTATGCTTTGAAAGAAAAAAGAGCTGGTAATTTTTGTGGAGAGGAAAATCTTGATGTAATGGAGGAATTGAGTCCAATATGAAGAGTTTTAATGATGTAATTGTACACAGCAAAACTGTGTAAGATGGATTTGAAGTTTGTCTTCTAATTTAGTTGCCTGCAGGGAACTACAGTTTGCCTTTTTGCATTACTACAGAAGTTAGGAGGGAAGAGAATACATCACTTTCTAAGATGTTGGCTTCAACTTGCAGCTAATTCTGAAGATACCACAACCTTACAGAAGATAGACAGTCAACATCAACTCAGATAACTGGCTAGTGCATTATATGTCGTAATGTAAGACTCTTAGCAGGTGTTACTGAAACATTAGTATGATTAAAATGTGGGTGCTTTGTTTTAACTTACCATTTTATTGGCATGTTTTTCTTGACTTCTTTTTTTAAATAGGGTTTATGAATAAGTAATGTAAAATGTAAAAAGCACATATTATCAATTGACTCCAAACGCAGGATTTTATTTTATGGATCATATTGGATTATTTGTGAAAGTGGGCAAAAATTTTGGATCTTTTACTGAATTGATTTTACTACTTCTATCATTTTTTCCCCACACATAAATGTGAGCTCATAGTGCTTCTTTGCAGTACTGACTTTTGCTTTATCTCTGTATTACTGCTCTGATCTTTTTTTAATGTTATAAAATGTGATTACTGATAACCTAATAGAAAAGAGAAAGAATTAAATTACATTTCTTTTGCTCTGATCACAAGAGAAGAAGCAGTAGGGAAATAAATACCTGTGCAGAAAATGTCATAAATTCAATAGACATGAGATAAATTAATTTCTTCATTTATTTTAAAAACTTCAGGGGTGTTTTGGTGTTAGTTATACCCACTATAGAACTGGGATTGTGCAATTATTATGGTGTTTACTGCTGTGGGGTGAGTATTATCAAAAGATACTTTGATACGTAGCCATTTGCTTTCTTTTCAGGTGGCTGTGTTTGGTGCACCTAATTTGCAGTACCAAGTCTCTTTTTTTGATCTGTTTTTGATATACATTGGGAGCACTGACACAAAATAATTTTTCCAAGCATCCGCTTTTAATAATGAGAAGAACTGCAGTTGCTTTGAGTTAGATGAGAAGGAAGTGAGACAGCAAGTACCTTTTCTTCCCTTCTTGTATATGCTTTCACTTATTGCTGTTACAATACGTGTGACACATGCAGGCATGCCAGAGTGGAAGGTGAGTAGAGAGTCTGTACAGAGTCTGTGGTTGGCATGCAGTTTTACCCAACATTTCAAGACAGTCGGTCTCTTAAAAAGTTAGCAAAAAAATATATCAGCTTAAGAGTAAGTAAATACAATGAAATAAAATAAGTTTGAGGTCTTTACTCTCTCTTCTTCCCCCATCAGATCTCGCAAATCTTATTGCGGATCTTACATAGTGCTCTGAGAGGTGTTACCCTTACACTTCCCTGTATGTGCAAACACATGCCCTGCATTTCTGTCAAAATGTTGGATGTTAACAAAGAACCCCGTTTAAACTGTTTATGCAAACAATGGTTCACTTAAACTGAAATGATTTAGGAAGCAATTCAGCTAAAAGATCTAAAAGAAGTGCTAATGCAGTTGGCAGGCAGTGACGGGCAGCTGGATGGCGGGTGGTCAGTAACCTTCCCTGCTGTCACAGCTGCTTCAGAAGGCTTCTCTGCCCAGCGGCATCCTTGAGAACCATGCTTCTCAGAAGCTCAGCAGGCATTTGGATCACTCTGCTTCTACAGTGGTTTGATTCACGGGGTCCTAACGAAAGAAAAGGAGAGTCTAGAATCACATGGATTTTAGACTGTAAGAAAACTTTCAAGGTTCGATCCCATTTTCTCATCCTTATCATTCAAGTTTTATTTGATATATTTCAGAAGGCACATACATTCAGTAGCATTAAAGCATGTATTCTTATGCATAAATTGTTTGCAATGACATTTCCTCATCTAAGAGTCACAAAACAGAAAAAATTGAAACATTGCTAATGACTGAGCAATGAATTGCCTGTTACTTTCCTACTGTGTCCACACAGAATGCTTCATGCTCTCTGGAATGATCATCAAGATTTTGATCACAAAATAAAACAAACACTTCTGTCTTCCAAGTTTATGTTTAATTACTGTCAGTGTTCTGGTGCGAGATTCTGTCCATCACAAGGCACAAAGACAGGGGGTGAAAGTCCTCTGAGGATGATGTTTACTTAAATTTCAAACTTTTCAACTCGTGTTTGGATTCCTTTCTTAAAAGCCTTTATTAAATAAAGAATGTTATTGTTCCTTTCCTTTAAAAACCTCCAAAATCATGCAAACCATGCAGGAGAATTCTGCAAGAGCCAGAAAACACAAAATTCTTCTCTCTTTGGTAGGAAATTTGAATATTACATTTTAATTTCAGGTCTATGCCATTCAGATCTTCTCATAGAGCTTCCCTTTTCTTTCTTACAAGCAGAATAATAATTCTAAGAGTAGTTATGTCAATTCATTAAACTAATTTTCCTATGGAAAGGACACATGTTATTGAGGATTTGTGAAGAACTGACATGACCATTGTTCATCAGATGAGTATGCTGCTGTTCTTGAAATGTTTCTGTTGTGTTCATAGCCAAATCATGAATCTCAGGAACTTTGATGTATCTTCATTGTTAGACATAGAGCTCTTGGATAACATAGAATTGAATTCATTAATTTCAATTTAAATTTCTTCCAAAAAGCGATAAATATCTAGTGTAAGTTGTGTATGGTTTTGGCCTGTAATCACTGCAAAGTAAGTTTTGTGATGAATGTCTTTCTGCTTTCTGCACCAGTTTTCCAAGCTGATTTAAAGCACCTATGACCTGCTCTATTAGCTGACTAAGAACAGGTCCCTGAAGCAAAGAATGAGAGCGGAGGGAAAATTTTTTTATCTTCTTACTAGTTGGTGATTTAAAAAAGTGGTGCTGCTCATTGATAAGCTTGAAATGCTGATGAAAATCTAATGAGGTGTTCACATTTGCAGACTTGGAGAGCAAACCACAGACAAGCATTTTTGTGTGAAGTCAAAAATATTAGAATGCTCTTGTCCATGTGATTTTTACATAATACCATGAATAAACTTTATTTGAAAAACATATTCAAGATGTCTTATTCAAGAACACTTTCCTGGGAAACTTAAGAATAAAAAAAAGATAAAAAAGGAGCTATGTAATGAGTAGGAGAAGGATGTGCTCTTCTGAGGAAGCTGAATCTGATACTAGTCCATTTCAACATTTTTATTAATATAGGCAATAAATGACATTTACTAAGAGAGTGATTTGGAAGTCCTGCCATCCACACATATAGCAAGAAACCAGGAAAATCACAGTAACAAAGAAAATTTAAAAAAAAATTAGAGACCCATTTAGAATTATCTGGAGACTAATAAAGTAAAATTAAAAAATAAAGCAAAATAAGTTTAATACTAGGACCAACTTGAATTGAACTTATATATACTGTCTAAAGAGCCAAGATGTGTACATTTCTTCATGAAAGATACCAAAAATGAGGAAAATAATTGGTCTTAACAATTTTAATTAGAGTAATGTCAGGTGCCTATGTTGTATATAATCTTTCCATGTTTTTGTACAGGAAAAGCATAAGCAGGAGTTAGAAGACATGAGAAAAGCTGGACATGAAGCTTTGAGTATTATTGTTGAAGAATTCAAGGTAAATGAGTTGCCAAGATAACATAATTTCCATGTAATATTATTGTAATATCATAAGTATGCCCTACAGGAAGTCTTTTTTAGTACTGCTTGTTCTGGTTGCTCAACTTCTTTCACTTTAAGACTGTCATTTCTGTTGCTTCCAATTTTGATTCACCTGAAATTTTGCATGACGTCTTCTTGCTCTGCACTTTGGGAAACTTCAGATAAAGCAGGTTAGCCATTTTCAGTAAACTTAAACAAAACAAAACCAAACATGAAACAGAAAAAAACAAGAATGCTCAGTCAATTGTGGTAAACTTTGAGTTTGATTATTTATCACTTATCCGTGGTTTGGCCCTCCTCAGTCTCAACAAACTGCATTTACAGGGAAGCAGCCTTCACAGAGCAAGTCAGGAGGTTTTTATCTACACAGTACTAAGAGAAGGAGTTAAGGAACAAATAAGACTGAGTTGTAATTCTTCTCTCATGTTGTTCCTATTTCCATTTAGCCAGTAAGATGAAAGAACTGGATGTTACCATGGAGGATAAATCTGTGTCTCTTGTACTGTTACAGAAATTTTCTAGTAAGAAATGCACAGAGAACAAAATCTGTATCAAGTTAGGAGAAGGAGTAGGTAAAGCTAAGAATTCTAATTAGGCTTAAAGAGGTAAGGAAGATCTGACAGGGAAAAAAGACTGATAATAGGAAATGGAAAAGAAGGCTGTTTTTGAGAATGAGAAGGGAGACCCAAGACCTGGTAGGCACCTGTGAGCTGGGAATACAAATCTGACAATGTAATTAATAAGGGGAGATTCAAACCATAACTGTTCAGCAACAGTAATTCATGACGAAGAAATGATCTGGCATGGAGGGCAAGAAGACGCAGCTGCAGAATGGTTTCAACTCACTGGAAGCAAGAACGCCATCAACTGAAGGACTTCCATGTAAAGGAGTGAGGTTTCCCTTGTAGCAACCCATCCTGGGATGTGAGTGCTCAGGGGCCTCTTTTGTTAAACAGAACTGATGCTATGGAATGAACTGAACGCTGGGCTAAGATGCCCACACGATCAGTGCTGGTGCAAGTGTATGTAAGGAATTGTCTCATGTTGCGTCTTTGCAGACTCCTAATAGAGCTGCTTATGGAGGTAGGACTGTCCAATCCATTGTTCATTAAATCTTTTTATGTTTAAGCACAAACATGTTTAATTTGTCTCAAGGGGTATGATAAAATTTCCCTAACACTGGGGGGAATGTAACTGGCAAGATAAAAAGGATAGGATTGAGGTTGGGTATTGTGATTCACGTAATGAGCTAAAAGGTTCAGTCTAAGACCTGCTGTTCAAGAAGCCTGCAATACTTTGTTTGGGAGGCTAGGCAGGTTGGTTTGTTTTCAGCAAATACCCAAAACTTACTCGCAAGGTATGTTTCTTTCTGGTGGTGTCAGGATCTGCAGCTCCAGGATAGCTGTCTGTTCCAGATTCCAAGTTTGCTGCAAAATTTGGGTTCCTAGTGTTATGCAAAACTTTTTTTTAGTTAGGTTCTGTGGAGTTTGTAGACTCCATTCCTCACATATAAGGTAGACCTACCAAGTTCCAGGTCTGAGAGGGCAGCATTCTGTAGGGTATGTTTTTAGGACTCTCTGCTTGAAGGCAGACCATGTCGTAGGCTACAGAAAAGTATAAAGTAATTCTAGTTATCATACAGGTTTGTAACTACTCATAATAAGAAAACCTGTTAGCAGTTTTCCTAATAACTGTTAGTAGTGTTCTAGATAATACTGAAACTGGACTATCTGTAGAAATATGCCTGTCTCCATTAATACAACTTACACAAATTTCATCTAAAGGGAACCTATCCAGAAAAAAGTTTCAGACATTTCCATTCTGGAGAAAAGTTGAGCATGGCCACTGATGATGTCCCCTTTCTCCATACCTCCCTCATTTCAGTTCTGGACCAGAACTACTCTGTTTCTTTTCCCTTACTTCTTTGGGGACCACTTTGCAATAGAACTTCTCAAATGGGAATTTTCTTCGGACTGTCTCACTTTGGATGAGCCACTGAACATGTTGCGTATCAGCATTTTTAACTTCTGTTTTGTGCTAGATGTGTATAAAATATCTAGCTATTTACATTTTGAAAAACCCAGTGGGCTATCAGTAATTGCTGTATTTATGTTTCTTCCTTTTTATTTCTGAAAATATAAGGAAATTGTGAAATGCAACAATTTTATAGTATCGAATGAAAGTTCTGTATGTTTTCTAGATATAATTTTTCACCATTTTAATGCCTTTGTGTGAGCCAAATGAGAGTTTTGCGTGGATGATATTGTCCCTTTTAAGGAATAATTTCTTCATGTATAGTTGGGTAAGGAATATACTCATGTGCCATATTGATTTTTGAAAACTGTATTACCAGACAACAGCAACTGGTAAGATCTGCTATGCCATCTGGAAAGATTTATGTTTATCAGTTTCTAGGATTTGTCACAAAAGATTAGAGATTTAATTGAATACTGTGATTCTAAGCAATATTTATATTTAGCATATTATTTCTCATAGACTGTTTATATTTAAGTTATATGCTGTTTATATTCAAGTTATATGAAGACATTTTTTAATATCGGGGAAGCATAGCATGAATATGCTTCATACAAGTCTTCCTGTTGCCTCATGTGGTTAGTTGCCATGTTTTGATCAATGAGAATACAGTACTCTGAGGAGAAATAACTTCAGATATGCCAGCATCAGAGCAAGATACTGCAACCAATCTTGTCTGCAAAGATGCAGCTAGTTGTTCTTCAGGGTAACAGGAAAAATCAAAAAAGTTTTTTAGGTTTAAAAAAAAAAATCAAGCTTTTTTTTTTATTCTTTTTTTATAGCTTAAATACCTTTTTAGTAACACTTTATCATGTAACTAAAAAAAAAAAGAATAACAATGAATCATTAGTGAATTCAGTGAAGGCAAAAAACTGTTCTGTAGTTTTGTTTGGGAATATTTCCTCATGGATTCTTTTAACAATGTTAATTCATGGTTACTATTTCAAGATGAAACAAAGTTAAGATTTGTTTTTTCTCAAGTAAATGAGCCAAATGTGTTTTTGTAATGAGAAATGTAATATTTTATGTTTTGGGGGCTTTCTAATTACTCATATCTTTAGGAATTTATTATATTTATAAGACATGTTGGCAGTTAGTAGTCAGATAACCAAATAAAGAGTTCTACATATAGCATTTGTTTAAAACCATAAAGTAAATCTGATTAGTCCTTCTAGTGAAATACAGGATTGTGGAATTCATTGACTCTTTTAAATCACTTAAGATTAGCCATACTTAATTTTGTGCTGAAATATGTCTTCTTTAGGATTTAACACCATCTTACACTAATACATATAATTTATATGCAGAAGTGATTTCCATTTTCAGTAGGTTTTGTAAGTACTACCTAATTAATCCCCAAATTACATTGAGTAGGGAAGTTCATCAAAGCAAGTCTACTGAATTGTTTAAAAGGTGTAGGAAGGAAAATCTTTCTTATGATGAATTTTTTCAGTAAGAATTCAGTCCTATTTTTCATTCCTTGTGTTTTAATAAAATGAACCAATGCAGATTATTCCAATCACGTGCCTGCTCATGGCCCAAATTAGGTTCTGTTGCAGTCATGTCTGTTGAAATTATGACTAATCCTCTCTGATACCAGCCAATTAAAATTTTGTAATACCACTCCAAGCAGGGTTGTAGCATGAATGAATGTAATGCCCAAAATTGGTTATTTAAGGATAGCTATGTAAAAATATGAACATTCATCATGCCCCAGAAAATAATCCTCAGAATCCCCCAAGCCCCAAATCCTCTAAATTAGGTATTGAATCTCTGGGTTGAACAACAATGGAAAAGAGCTGACTACTAAGCTTTTCTGTATTCCCAGCATAGATAAGTCATCCTACTGGTAGATTTGTGAAAGTGCCTTTCTTTTGGCATACAAAGGAAAAGGGACTTGCCATTTTTCCACTTCTGTCTATGTATGGGGTCTGGCTGAGATGAAGTTAATTTTCCCCATAGCAGCCCTCATAGTGCTACGCTTTGCACTGGTAGCTAGAAAGGTGTTGATAACACACCAGTGCTTTGGCTACTGCTGGGCAGTGCTCACACAGCATCAAGGCTGTCTGTCCAACATTTCCCTCCTCACCAGTAGGCTGGAGGTGGGCAAGATCTTGGGAGGGGACATAGCCAGGAGAGCTGACCCGAACTGACCGAAGGGATATTCCATACTATATCATGTCAGTTCAGCAATAAAAGCTAAGAGAAAGGAGAAGGAAAGGGGAGGGCATTTATTATTTATGATGTTTGCCTTCCAGAGCAATCGCTATATGTACTGAAACCCTACTTCCCGGGAAGTGGCTGGGCATTGCCTGCTGATGGGAAGTGGAGAATAAATCTTTTGTTTTCCTTTACTTCCATGTGTAGCCTTTGCTTTTGCTTTTTATTAAACTACCTTTATTTTGACCCACATGGCTTTTTCCATCTTATTTTCTCACACCTTGTTCTGCTGAGGAGGGGAGTGATAGAGCAGCTTGGTGGGCACCTGCTGTCCAGCCAAGGTCAACCACCACGATCTACAAGGCTGCCAAGTTAGTAACCAAAAGCTCACATTTTTCTTAGGTTTAGAGCTATTTATTACTCCTTGCAGACTTCCTGCAGCATACTTTTTGTAGCTGTTGTTACTGTATCTTTCTATGCTTGAAAATGGGTTACGCTTTCTGATAATCACTCGCCTGTATTTTAGAGAATTATTTATTGTAAAAGGGACTATGTTTCTGCACATTGATCTTTCATTAGTACGCAATCCCTAGACAGACCAGGCACTCACGTTTAAGACCAAATTCTCTCAATTCCTACCCTTGTTGTGATTGGTCCTTTTTGATATGGCAACAGTGTCGAAAATGGAGCTGACACAAGAAGTCAAATACTGAATGATCTAATTTCAGGGACCTGAATATACCAAAGCCCTTAGAATTATTG